AGAAAGAGAGTCAAGAACAGGTATTTTGATCTGTTTGACTTTAATTAAAAATAGAAAGATGGAGTTTTTTTTTCTCTGTGAATAATTGATAAACAATAATGTAAAAAAGTTTTGTTTTTTTTTTGGACTCTTTGTTTTAAGATTTTGTTAATTTGAGAATTGAAAATTTTGATTGGTGAATAATAAATACTCCAAGAATTTCGGGAATCCTTTTAAAAAAAAATTGTTTAGTGGATTGGTGTTTAAAATGAGAATTGACCCTCCTAAATTTGAACAATGGTGGTTGTTGTTTATGATCCTATATTCTATGTTTATACAATTTTCTTGAATGGTGTAAAAAGATATTTTGGGACCTTCAATTTTTGTAATGCTTCTAAATAATTACTAAACATTTTCCAAGAAATTGAGCATAACAATTCTCTAAATAACTCATGAAATCATGTGGTTTAGTGAAACCCATTCTTTCTCAAAATTGTGTAAACAGAAAAAAAGTTGTTGGAGTCACAAGATGTTTTTTTTTTTTTAATATAATTACAAAAAGGAGAAAAAGAAGATGAAAGTGGAAAATAATAATAGCACTCAAAGACTCCATGTGAAGATTTTGATTACATAAGACAAGAACATGTCCTCTCTTTCTCTCCTTCATGAATTGGCATAACATGTCCCCATGCTTTTGTCCCTCTTTCAGATGTATCTACTCCAAGATCTACTCTCTTGTCTCTATTTTAAACCACTGTACTTAATAATTCACAAGAGTAACAAATTATATAGGCCAATCATCTTGATTATAAGAATCCAAAAATAGCGATTCAAATGCGATAGCGATTTCAATGTGTGTGCAAGAGATGTAATTTGGATACAATCCGACTTGATGATAAAACGATGTGATTAACCCATATTTTTTAATGACAACACACTAATTACAAGTGTATTAAAGAAGAAAACCGATTCAACACTTGCATTCTCACTCAGTTTGAGTACACGGAAACAATCGTGTAATAACTTTTTTTGTTTCTAATAATGTTACAGAGACAACAGAGAGAGAAAAAAGATCACACCAATGGATCAAAAACAAAAGACTTTATTAGAGTTTTTTTTTTAGTGCTTTGTGATTCTTTCAAGGACTTGGAAGTAGTCAGGGAAAGTTTTCCTGGTGCAACCAGGATCCTTGATTGTGACTGGAACATCAGCACAAGCTGCAAGAGAAAACGCCATCGCCATTCTATGATCATCGTATGTATCAATCTCGGCCGGTATCACTTTCTCTGGTGGAGTTATCACACAATAATCTGAACCTTCTTCCACTGTAGCTCCAAGCTGAATACAAAAACCGCAGCGATTTACTTTAGAATGAGTATTATAAGCCGAGAGAGAGAGGGTGCTCGAGAGAGAAGAATTATACCTTTCGGAGCTCAGTGCAAATAGCAATCATCCTTTCTGTTTCCTTTACTCTCCAGCTAGCAACTATATATTGATCAAAATAGAATTAAGTCACCATGAATCTTGAGAGACCTTAATTTAATAGAGAGGGTTTACAAACCATCTCTAATGGTGGTTGGACCATCGGCAAAGAGAGCAACGACGGCAAGAGTCATGGCAACATCAGGCATTTTGTTCATGTTGACATCAACAGCGCGTAAGTGTCTCATTCCAAAAGCATCTCTAGATGGTCCAGTCACGGTCACACTGTTCTCTGTCCAAGACACTTTACATCCCATTTTCTCAAGAACCTCGGCGAATTTCACATCTCCCTTTAGATTCATCACAAAAATTTGAGCTTAGATTATATCTTACATACAACTTGTCAAATAGACAAGATTTTGAGCTGATCAATTTACATTACAAACTTAGTATCCTCTTTGATGATTCAGCGTAAAGAAATTACCTGCAAGCTGGTTGTTCCACAGCCTTCAACAGTGACAGTTTCACCGGTAATGGCAGCACCAGCCAAGAAATAACTAGCACTAGAAGCATCACCTTCTACGTAAGCATTACCTGGCGACCTGAATTAATTTTGCCATTTGGTCAGTCATTCTTTTTTCAATCAAAGGTATGTGATTACAGAAAAAGGAACAAGAAATGACTCTTACTTGTATTTCTGACCACCCTTGACAAAGAAACGATCCCAGCTATCACTATGCTCGGCAGTAACACCGAAACGTTCCATCAACTTCAATGTCATTTCAACATAGGGAACAGAGATCAATTTATCGATAATCTCAATCTCGACGTCTCCAAGAGCTAAGGGAGCTGCCATGAGCAGAGCAGTCAAGTACTGACTGCTGATTGAACCAGAAAGCTTCACCTGCAAATTCAAAACATGTCCAATGTGTTAATCAAGAATCCATACAAAGAAAAAGATATCGAGAAAGAAAACTAATCCCGACAAAAAGATCAATTTAACACCAAACCCAATTCCTTTTTCATGATCCATCCGTAAACAACAAACCAAAAAAATGAAATCTTGTCACATTGCTGCAACTGTTCATAAAGATTTGCAAGATCTCACCTTTCCACCGGGAAGGCCACCATTAGCGTTGACACGAACAGGAGGGCAATTAGTTCCAAGAGTACATTCAACATCTGCACCAAGCTGCTTAAGACCAACAACCAAATCACCTATGGGTCTTTCTCTCATTCGAGGCACACCATCGAGCACATAACTG